CTATAGTCATCCACCGCCATGGCGTGATACAACAGTGGCCAAGGATAGTTCAAGGTTGGGGTTGCTTCAATCAATTGATGAATTTCTTGCGATGGATAGTCCCACCATTTTAGGGTGGGCCAAGTTTTATGCTCATCATAACAATTAAAGAGTAAAATTTTGTTTCCAATAGGTGAATACAGTTGAAAGATTTATGTTTTTAAAGAGATCGAAACAAATCAGTTATGAAATTAAAATTCTAATATTTCAAATCATTTTTTATGTTTCGACGCATTTATACCATTATTTTATAATGTTTTAAACTTTTTTAAGATACTTGGGTATATTTCGACCAATATTTTAAAAAAATAATTTTTAAATTTTTTTATTTTTTTCTATTTTATTTTTAAAACACATCAAAATATTTCTATTTTTTTTAGGTGATCGAACCAATGAACTAACGCGGAATTTCACCCTGGATAACAACTTTGAGATTCTGGATTAATACCCATGGACCCCACACTACAGTGTATAGGCAAATAGGCGGACAAACCCAATTTTCTATGGTGAGAAGCCCACCGCACCAACATTAGGTTGTAAGGTCAATTGAAACGGTTGGTGAACATCTATGTCTCCGTCATGACCCGAGTAAAATACATGTGAATTATCCTGATTTATACATTGAACAAAGGTTATAATTCTCTTTTATTTAATATTAGTTATTGTCTGTGTCTGAAGACACAGAGTAATAATAAATGATAAATAATAAATATATTTGTATTCATATTCAAAATTAAATCACAAATATAAAGAAGAATTAAAAGAATTTAAGCATCGATTTTATAGTAGGGGTGAGAGAGGGTGAGAGGTGGTGGGTGACAATAGAGGTGGTAGAAGATGGTGAAAATTGTGGTGGATGGCAATAACCATGGTGGCGACGAGGGCAACAACGATGGTGGTGGTGGCGGCGGCAACGGTGGGGGTGGTGGTGATGGCGGTGGTGGTGGACGGCTTCAAACATTATTTTTTTATAAAAATATTTATAAGAAATAATTTCTAAAGTATGTTTAAAAAGTTATCAAAACACACCCTTAGAAATATAATTTTTCTATTAAATTTAAGGTATTAATATTAGCCGTGAAATTAATTTTAAAGTAAAATTTAAACCGATCTCAACCGCGAATAATAAATATCAATTTGTTTATTTTTTGCGAATATTAGTCATTTTGATTCTTTTTTAATAAATTAGAGGTCATAATTAAGTGAAATGTTGTTCGATACAACTGACAAATAATCCTAACCCAAAAATACTTTTTACTATTTTAAAGAATTAACTCATCACGAAGAAAGATAATCCCAACTAAACATAATAGCAAAATGAATAATAATTTTATCACGGACTCTTTAATTATGTGCATTGAAAATATATTGTGAATAAATTTAGGATATAATCAATTAAATATAAATAATTTTTGAGAATTAAATGGCATCATATTTCACTATAATATGTCATCCTGTCTTTTTATTTTGTCATACTTTGCTCCCATTAATCTAGAATTCTGGTTCCGTCTCTGAATTTGAGTGAATCTCAATCTGTCACACCGCTTGATGAACGCATTATGTCATAAGATTCTTTGGCATGACTGGGGTGAGATAAAATAATTTTATCTGGAATTTGCTTTTTTATGCCTGTTTTTTTATTGGCCGCTCTAGATAACGCTGATACCACATGAATGATTATATAAATGTAATGTTGATTGATTACTTGGATAAAAATTGTGTTATATATTAATATGCCCCATAAGAATTTTTTTACAAAATTTGTGCCATTAATTAATGGGAAACGGTAGGTGACGAGCCAAAATCAACCATGTCAGGCCAAATAAATCAATCAATCTCAAGTCAGTTAAAAAACAGTCTCAAGCCCACTTTATCTAACAGACTCAATCCAAAATCCAAAGAGTCCAGGAAGATAAGAACACGTGAGGAAAGAGAATATCGAGATAGACACTTATGGAAATCAAATTCTACCTTAATTGTACTTACCAAAGAAGTAGTGTCACTCTCCCTCACCTCGCCGCCTCACCAAATCTATATAATATAAGCCCTCTCCACATAGAGGGCATGACCTTGGGACCTCGACTTCTTAACCTTTCTACACCTCTCTAGTTTCTCTCTTTTAAAGTATTGTAATACTCCCGGAGTATACTCTCCCGGTGACTTTCATTTATCAATAAAAATCTCCGGCCACCGTTGCCGTTCCTGAGAGTAGAGTAGATCATCCGAACCGAACCACTATAAAATCTATATGTTGACTCTTATTTATCGTTTTGCCATTAATCATCTTATTTATTACTCATTAACTACACCCTTACAGATATTCGACTGTTAATTTTGCACAATACTAATTTGTGCATCATCAGTTTGTGGTCCTTTGTGGGAATGACTAGTTTTCTTACTCTCTTTCAATCTATGGCAATCACGACCAAATCAATGAGTCAACAACCAGGAGACAACAACTCAGCCCAATGGGAGGAGGCTCCACCTCCCCTCATACCCTCGGAACCATCTACTACAGGCACCCCTGTTGTCGGGCAACAGATCCTACAAATCATGCAGCTGATGGTGAACCAAAACTAGAAAATCATCCAACTGATGTTCGCCCAAGGAGGCGTCGCCCCTCACTCCGTGGGAGGAAGTCCACTCCCTCCAACAGGAGACGAGCAACAGCCCATCCCTTTTGGGAGCCAGATAGCCCCTCACCAAAGGGCCCCTCGCCAGAACACCCCAAGGCCACACCATGACGCCCCTCGCCCAACAGTCCCTCTTCAGTGCACAAGGAGCTCACGTGTTCCCCCTCTACAAGTACTTGCACAAGAGGAGGGAGAAGGAGAGAGTCAATATGACGATCATGAAAGTCAGTACCACCACCCAATTGAGGATGTCCCCAATCAATGAGACGAGAAGATCAAAGAGGTGCAAAATCAACTCGGTGACGCCCTCAATGCCATCAAGGCACAAGCACCTAAGATAGTGGACTACCTAGTAAGACGCACCGATACACCTTTCATTGCGGATATAGTCAATTATCCCTTACCCTCGAAGTTCAAGATGCCTACCATTAAAATCTTCAACGGTACCAAAGACCCCCCTCGATCATCTTGACATATACAAATCTCTTATGCAACTCTACAACGTGCCTGATGAAATTATGTGTAGAGCCTTCTCTATCACCCTCAAGGGATCTGTATGCCAATGGTTCGCAAAGATTAAACCTTCCTCCATCCACTCCTCTGCGGAATTGAGTAGATCCTTCGTCTCCCACTTCATTGAAAAACGCCGACATCAGAAACCTGTGACCCACTTGCTCACCGTTAAGCAAGATAAGGATAAAAGTCTCAGAGACTACCTCGTCTGTTTTAACGAGCAGGCTCTCCAAATTGAAGAGTCAGATGATAAGGTAGCCCTGACCGCCTTTATTGCTAGTCTTCGCTCCTCAAATTTTGTTTTCTTTGATCTCAAGAAATCGCCCTCCAACATGCCTGAGTTGCTGTCTAGAGCATAGAAATACATGAACGCCGAGGACGTTACCAAGATCAGAAGAGGTGAGTCCTCCCATGGGGGCGAGAAAAGGAAGGACCCTCGCGAAAACATGAGGGAGGCAGAGAACAAAATGAGTAGGACAAATACCTTAATTATACTTACCAAAGAAGTAGTGTCCCTCCCCCTCACATCACCGTCTCACCAAACTTATATAATGTAAACCCTCTCCACATAGAAAGCATGACCTTGAGACTTCAACTTCTTGTCCTCTCTATACCTCTCTAGTTTCTCTCTCCTAAAGTATTGTAATACTCTTGGAGTATACTCCCCTAGTAACTTTTATTTATCAATAAAGATCTCCGGCCACCACTACCGTTCCCAAGAGTGAATAGGTTATCTGGACTAACCCACTATAAATCTGTGTGTTAACTTTTATTTACTGTTCTGCTATTGATCATCTTATTTATTGCTCATTAACTGCATCTTTACAAATACTCGACTGTTGATTTTGTGCAATACTAATTTGTGCAACATCAATAGGGTTACAACGATTCTATCAGAATCAGAATTTATTATTTTTTTGAGATATAAGTTATAATTTTAAAGGTTATGATAGATCATGAAAGATTGTAATTAATACTGGATATCATGATCAATCATGAATATCTGTGATAAATCATGATCTTCCCTTGAGCAAATGCAACTTTTTCTTTTAAAGTTGTAACTTTTTCATAAAAATTGATAATTGATTGTATCATTACCGATTTTTTTTTTTTTTAGTACCATAGAGTTTCCTTGAACTAATATTCTCAAACAAAGGATGCAATATATGATCATTAAGATTTCACGCTAATTTAAAAAGAAGAATGCTATGCGTGTTCCACTTTAATATGAATTATTACATTAATGGGTCTCATTATATATAAATCATTATGAATTTAAAAATGTTATATACTTTGAAATTAGTGCATAGTCTTGCACAATCACGACAATAATGATAACGTAAATATTAATTGGATTGGATGCATAGTCGCCACAAAAATTTTATATGATTAACTTTGAGAATAGCGCTCTTTGTCCTGACCCAATTTGGGACAATAATGTAAATAAACCAACCAGGGAGTATATTAATTTATTAAAGTTATCCAAACAACTCATCCAACCGGAATGGATTAGGTAGAGTACACGCTGCAATCCAACCCAACACACACACCGGCCATCCAAACACGCCAACGAGCGACTCTCCACTTTGGTAGTTGAGTACAGAGTTGGCTTTGCTTTATTTTCGCCGGCGAATGAGCCTTCAGCATGAATTGAGCCTTGAAGACCAGACCACCGTTGAATGCGTGTTTCGGAAACACGCATTTAAAAAGAACAGTAGTTTGATAACCACGCCGGAGACTACGGTGTTGTGGTAAAAAATTGCAAAACTAAGCGGTATAAGAAACTCAAAAAAGATGATAGACCCACTGATACGTGTATATGAGCTGAAGACATGACTAACAAAAACTGATGCAATTACATAGAGATACAATTCAAGTCATACAAGGGTTACACATCATTGAAAAGCTCTTCCACTGTCACTAATTGCATTTCTATTATTTCTCATATTCTCTCTTAAACACAAGACTACCGAAAGCATGGGAAATAGATCTTTCCATTCACCTTATTACCGTGATGCTCCTCTGTACAAGCAACCAGCTTACCAAAACGCACAGGAGCTCAGCAGGCACGTGCCTCTGTCAGCTGCCTTGGGATGGGTCCACAGCCACCAGAAACTTTGAGGGATGCAAAGAGGCAGGATAACATTGCAATCATCGGCCTGCTCCTCACCACTCTGGGGACTAATGCAAGCTCCTTGCTAGAAACATCTTCACATGGGCTATTATACCCTTCCAAATCTGCTTTTGTAATCACAACAACATCCCCTGCCGGAGGTAGTGCAGTAGAAGCTAATCTCCGCTGCTTAAATTCCAGGACTGCCTGCTTATTAGAACTATCAATTAGCATCCAACAAGTAGAGAAGGTCATAAAAGAAAATGACAACACTTACCCTAATATGAAAATGAACATTGAGGACCTTCTCATGGACTTGTATTTTCTTGTTTCAAGAAAATTTTAGGAGACATGTTTTCTTACCTTCCATTGGGAAGGAGCCAACAGCACTCTAGGTCTTATAGACCGGACATATTCCAATGCAGCAGCAGGAGTCATTTGTTTATACACAACCTGCACATTTATGAAACCACAACTTGATTCGACAATTTTCAAATAATCCAATAGAGCTTGAAACATAAGATACTCAGCAACTTTAAATTCAGGAACAGATGAATGACTAAGCAAAGAAAAGAATCACCAAATAGCAAAGCACAATTGTTGTGCTCCTTCCCCTCCCTGCTTTACAGTGCACATAAGTAGCCTTACAGCAAGTTGCATTCTCTGCACCCACAAAGGAAACCCAAAAAGAAAAAAGGTGTGTATCAACAAAACCCCAGAAAATATAGAAACACAACTGTAACAGATTCATGGTCAAAGAAAGATCAGTAACTGTGAATGAAATCAACTGCTCTATTAATATCCACAAATGAAGGAGCAAATAGGTAATCTCTGGTCGGAATAACCAAATGATCTATCTCATGTGCCTGCAAACCACAACAAAAGATGAGACGAAACAACAACGAGAACTTGAATACCAACATCACAATCCTTAGGAACTATTCTGCTCAACAGAAGATACTTCAGAGGTGATTTAGAATGAAAATAATTTATTTATTCAAAGTAACATACATCTATATGGAAATTTGATCTGAAGCTTAGCTACACAATTTTTCACTCTATCTCAATTAATTAGCTTCATAGGGGGGAAATATAAAATCTGGATTTGATTTTTATCCCATAGAAAAAACTTTCTACTGCAGCACATGAAGCACAAAAAAAGAAGGCAAGGAAATAACTTTTCACTGCTGCAAAGAAGAGGAAAATATGTAACAGATAGTATTATGGGCAAATGTAATGGTGTGAATACTACGTCTTCACATATACGAATTTCAACGAAGAGGAAATCTGCTTGATACAAAACTAATAATTGCAAGCTTCATATGGAAGTTATAGAAGATATATAGACATTAAGTCTTCTCGTAATTTCTTGAAAACAGACAACTTCAAGCTTAAACTGGAATGGGTCAGATAACAGTATATTAAATTTGGGAAAAGCTTAGATGCGCTGAAAAAAGGACTCAAGTTTTAATCTAAACTAATCCACTCAGAAACAATTAACACTTACATAAGGCAAACAAATATTAAACCTCATACCCTACGCAACCCCCAGAAAGAGGAAAGCTCTTAACACCCCAAAAAAATGTAGGTGGCACTACATTTTCTAGTAGAATTCCAAGCCACTCCCTGGAGATTTAAATTTATGGCAACAAGTGTCAGAAAAGCAGAATATTAAGGACAAACTTGAGACTTAAATTTACATAACCAGCCACCAGAACTAAGCTAAGANATCAATCTCAAGTCAGTTAAAAAACAGTCTCAAGCCCACTTTATCTAACAGACTCAATCCAAAATCCAAAGAGTCCAGGAAGATAAGAACACGTGAGGAAAGAGAATATCGAGATAGACACTTATGGAAATCAAATTCTACCTTAATTGTACTTACCAAAGAAGTAGTGTCACTCTCCCTCACCTCGCCGCCTCACCAAATCTATATAATATAAGCCCTCTCCACATAGAGGGCATGACCTTGGGACCTCGACTTCTTAACCTTTCTACACCTCTCTAGTTTCTCTCTTTTAAAGTATTGTAATACTCCCGGAGTATACTCTCCCGGTGACTTTCATTTATCAATAAAAATCTCCGGCCACCGTTGCCGTTCCTGAGAGTAGAGTAGATCATCCGAACCGAACCACTATAAAATCTATATGTTGACTCTTATTTATCGTTTTGCCATTAATCATCTTATTTATTACTCATTAACTACACCCTTACAGATATTCGACTGTTAATTTTGCACAATACTAATTTGTGCATCATCAGTTTGTGGTCCTTTGTGGGAATGACTAGTTTTCTTACTCTCTTTCAATCTATGGCAATCACGACCAAATCAATGAGTCAACAACCAGGAGACAACAACTCAGCCCAATGGGAGGAGGCTCCACCTCCCCTCATACCCTCGGAACCATCTACTACAGGCACCCCTGTTGTCGGGCAACAGATCCTACAAATCATGCAGCTGATGGTGAACCAAAACTAGAAAATCATCCAACTGATGTTCGCCCAAGGAGGCGTCGCCCCTCACTCCGTGGGAGGAAGTCCACTCCCTCCAACAGGAGACGAGCAACAGCCCATCCCTTTTGGGAGCCAGATAGCCCCTCACCAAAGGGCCCCTCGCCAGAACACCCCAAGGCCACACCATGACGCCCCTCGCCCAACAGTCCCTCTTCAGTGCACAAGGAGCTCACGTGTTCCCCCTCTACAAGTACTTGCACAAGAGGAGGGAGAAGGAGAGAGTCAATATGACGATCATGAAAGTCAGTACCACCACCCAATTGAGGATGTCCCCAATCAATGAGACGAGAAGATCAAAGAGGTGCAAAATCAACTCGGTGACGCCCTCAATGCCATCAAGGCACAAGCACCTAAGATAGTGGACTACCTAGTAAGACGCACCGATACACCTTTCATTGCGGATATAGTCAATTATCCCTTACCCTCGAAGTTCAAGATGCCTACCATTAAAATCTTCAACGGTACCAAAGACCCCCCTCGATCATCTTGACATATACAAATCTCTTATGCAACTCTACAACGTGCCTGATGAAATTATGTGTAGAGCCTTCTCTATCACCCTCAAGGGATCTGTATGCCAATGGTTCGCAAAGATTAAACCTTCCTCCATCCACTCCTCTGCGGAATTGAGTAGATCCTTCGTCTCCCACTTCATTGAAAAACGCCGACATCAGAAACCTGTGACCCACTTGCTCACCGTTAAGCAAGATAAGGATAAAAGTCTCAGAGACTACCTCGTCTGTTTTAACGAGCAGGCTCTCCAAATTGAAGAGTCAGATGATAAGGTAGCCCTGACCGCCTTTATTGCTAGTCTTCGCTCCTCAAATTTTGTTTTCTTTGATCTCAAGAAATCGCCCTCCAACATGCCTGAGTTGCTGTCTAGAGCATAGAAATACATGAACGCCGAGGACGTTACCAAGATCAGAAGAGGTGAGTCCTCCCATGGGGGCGAGAAAAGGAAGGACCCTCGCGAAAACATGAGGGAGGCAGAGAACAAAATGAGTAGGACAAATACCTTAATTATACTTACCAAAGAAGTAGTGTCCCTCCCCCTCACATCACCGTCTCACCAAACTTATATAATGTAAACCCTCTCCACATAGAAAGCATGACCTTGAGACTTCAACTTCTTGTCCTCTCTATACCTCTCTAGTTTCTCTCTCCTAAAGTATTGTAATACTCTTGGAGTATACTCCCCTAGTAACTTTTATTTATCAATAAAGATCTCCGGCCACCACTACCGTTCCCAAGAGTGAATAGGTTATCTGGACTAACCCACTATAAATCTGTGTGTTAACTTTTATTTACTGTTCTGCTATTGATCATCTTATTTATTGCTCATTAACTGCATCTTTACAAATACTCGACTGTTGATTTTGTGCAATACTAATTTGTGCAACATCAATAGGGTTACAACGATTCTATCAGAATCAGAATTTATTATTTTTTTGAGATATAAGTTATAATTTTAAAGGTTATGATAGATCATGAAAGATTGTAATTAATACTGGATATCATGATCAATCATGAATATCTGTGATAAATCATGATCTTCCCTTGAGCAAATGCAACTTTTTCTTTTAAAGTTGTAACTTTTTCATAAAAATTGATAATTGATTGTATCATTACCGATTTTTTTTTTTTTTAGTACCATAGAGTTTCCTTGAACTAATATTCTCAAACAAAGGATGCAATATATGATCATTAAGATTTCACGCTAATTTAAAAAGAAGAATGCTATGCGTGTTCCACTTTAATATGAATTATTACATTAATGGGTCTCATTATATATAAATCATTATGAATTTAAAAATGTTATATACTTTGAAATTAGTGCATAGTCTTGCACAATCACGACAATAATGATAACGTAAATATTAATTGGATTGGATGCATAGTCGCCACAAAAATTTTATATGATTAACTTTGAGAATAGCGCTCTTTGTCCTGACCCAATTTGGGACAATAATGTAAATAAACCAACCAGGGAGTATATTAATTTATTAAAGTTATCCAAACAACTCATCCAACCGGAATGGATTAGGTAGAGTACACGCTGCAATCCAACCCAACACACACACCGGCCATCCAAACACGCCAACGAGCGACTCTCCACTTTGGTAGTTGAGTACAGAGTTGGCTTTGCTTTATTTTCGCCGGCGAATGAGCCTTCAGCATGAATTGAGCCTTGAAGACCAGACCACCGTTGAATGCGTGTTTCGGAAACACGCATTTAAAAAGAACAGTAGTTTGATAACCACGCCGGAGACTACGGTGTTGTGGTAAAAAATTGCAAAACTAAGCGGTATAAGAAACTCAAAAAAGATGATGGACCACTGATACGTGTATATGAGCTGAAGACATGACTAACAAAAACTGATGCAATTACATAGAGATACAATTCAAGTCATACAAGGGTTACACATCATTGAAAAGCTCTTCCACTGTCACTAATTGCATTTCTATTATTTCTCATATTCTCTCTTAAACACAAGACTACCGAAAGCATGGGAAATAGATCTTTCCATTCACCTTATTACCGTGATGCTCCTCTGTACAAGCAACCAGCTTACCAAAACGCACAGGAGCTCAGCAGGCACGTGCCTCTGTCAGCTGCCTTGGGATGGGTCCACAGCCACCAGAAACTTTGAGGGATGCAAAGAGGCAGGATAACATTGCAATCATCGGCCTGCTCCTCACCACTCTGGGGACTAATGCAAGCTCCTTGCTAGAAACATCTTCACATGGGCTATTATACCCTTCCAAATCTGCTTTTGTAATCACAACAACATCCCCTGCCGGAGGTAGTGCAGTAGAAGCTAATCTCCGCTGCTTAAATTCCAGGACTGCCTGCTTATTAGAACTATCAATTAGCATCCAACAAGTAGAGAAGGTCATAAAAGAAAATGACAACACTTACCCTAATATGAAAATGAACATTGAGGACCTTCTCATGGACTTGTATTTTCTTGTTTCAAGAAAATTTTAGGAGACATGTTTTCTTACCTTCCATTGGGAAGGAGCCAACAGCACTCTAGGTCTTATAGACCGGACATATTCCAATGCAGCAGCAGGAGTCATTTGTTTATACACAACCTGCACATTTATGAAACCACAACTTGATTCGACAATTTTCAAATAATCCAATAGAGCTTGAAACATAAGATACTCAGCAACTTTAAATTCAGGAACAGATGAATGACTAAGCAAAGAAAAGAATCACCAAATAGCAAAGCACAATTGTTGTGCTCCTTCCCCTCCCTGCTTTACAGTGCACATAAGTAGCCTTACAGCAAGTTGCATTCTCTGCACCCACAAAGGAAACCCAAAAAGAAAAAAGGTGTGCATCAACAAAACCCCAGAAAATATAGAAACACAACTGTAACAGATTCATGGTCAAAGAAAGATCAGTAACTGTGAATGAAATCAACTGCTCTATTAATATCCACAAATGAAGGAGCAAATAGGTAATCTCTGGTCGGAATAACCAAATGATCTATCTCATGTGCCTGCAAACCACAACAAAAGATGAGACGAAACAACAACGAGAACTTGAATACCAACATCACAATCCTTAGGAACTATTCTGCTCAACAGAAGATACTTCAGAGGTGATTTAGAATGAAAATAATTTATTTATTCAAAGTAACATACATCTATATGGAAATTTGATCTGAAGCTTAGCTACACAATTTTTCACTCTATCTCAATTAATTAGCTTCATAGGGGGGAAATATAAAATCTGGATTTGATTTTTATCCCATAGAAAAAACTTTCTACTGCAGCACATGAAGCACAAAAAAAGAAGGCAAGGAAATAACTTTTCACTGCTGCAAAGAAGAGGAAAATATGTAACAGATAGTATTATGGGCAAATGTAATGGTGTGAATACTACGTCTTCACATATACGAATTTCAACGAAGAGGAAATCTGCTTGATACAAAACTAATAATTGCAAGCTTCATATGGAAGTTATAGAAGATATATAGACATTAAGTCTTCTCGTAATTTCTTGAAAACAGACAACTTCAAGCTTAAACTGGAATGGGTCAGATAACAGTATATTAAATTTGGGAAAAGCTTAGATGCGCTGAAAAAAGGACTCAAGTTTTAATCTAAACTAATCCACTCAGAAACAATTAACACTTACATAAGGCAAACAAATATTAAACCTCATACCCTACGCAACCCCCAGAAAGAGGAAAGCTCTTAACACCCCAAAAAAATGTAGGTGGCACTACATTTTCTAGTAGAATTCCAAGCCACTCCCTGGAGATTTAAATTTATGCCAACAAGTGTCAGAAAAGCAGAATATTAAGGACAAACTTGAGACTTAAATTTACATAACCAGCCACCAGAACTAAGCTAAGATATCACAGCCAATACACCAACAAAAAGGACAAAACAATTCGTCATTTCTATGCACACTGAAACTGATGATTAAACTTCAATTCTCACTGTGATTAACTTAAGCAATCAAGTGAAGTCAGAATATGCAAGAGCATCTACAAAAACTGCTGATATTTGACAGCAAATAACTTCACAGAAACAATTCCACAATGAGAAATCACTCACATAGTACAAGGACGTTGGAACCAAAGTTTCATATGACTCATTGAGGGTGATCACACCACCAACACCAAGCTGCTTCAACCTAGGAACATCCTTAGGGAATGGAACCGCTCCCAGTAGCAAAAACTGTACAAAAGACAATAAAACAAATGAAACCAGATAAAACCAAATCCGAGTACCATTAAATTTCAGAACAAAAAGTTAGTAATAGAATAGCAATTTGATCAGAGACTCACAGAAAGTTGAGTTCTTTATTTTCTCACATCCAACTAATCAAAAACATAGGAAAAAACCCATTTCATACTGTTCTTCATCATTTTCCCCGCAATGAAACAGATCATCAAGAACAATTCAAGCAACCACAATCTTAATTCAGCCGAATGACATTCTACTTTTATTCTCTTATACCAAATTTTTACAACAGACAAACTCATATTAAAAACAAGTGAAACACCTAAAAATTANGATATTCGACTGTTAATTTTGCACAATACTAATTTGTGCATCATCAGTTTGTGGTCCTTTGTGGGAATGACTAGTTTTCTTACTCTCTTTCAATCTATGGCAATCACGACCAAATCAATGAGTCAACAACCAGGAGACAACAACTCAGCCCAATGGGAGGAGGCTCCACCTCCCCTCATACCCTCGGAACCATCTACTACAGGCACCCCTGTTGTCGGGCAACAGATCCTACAAATCATGCAGCTGATGGTGAACCAAAACTAGAAAATCATCCAACTGATGTTCGCCCAAGGAGGCGTCGCCCCTCACTCCGTGGGAGGAAGTCCACTCCCTCCAACAGGAGACGAGCAACAGCCCATCCCTTTTGGGAGCCAGATAGCCCCTCACCAAAGGGCCCCTCGCCAGAACACCCCAAGGCCACACCATGACGCCCCTCGCCCAACAGTCCCTCTTCAGTGCACAAGGAGCTCACGTGTTCCCCCTCTACAAGTACTTGCACAAGAGGAGGGAGAAGGAGAGAGTCAATATGACGATCATGAAAGTCAGTACCACCACCCAATTGAGGATGTCCCCAATCAATGAGACGAGAAGATCAAAGAGGTGCAAAATCAACTCGGTGACGCCCTCAATGCCATCAAGGCACAAGCACCTAAGATAGTGGACTACCTAGTAAGACGCACCGATACACCTTTCATTGCGGATATAGTCAATTATCCCTTACCCTCGAAGTTCAAGATGCCTACCATTAAAATCTTCAACGGTACCAAAGACCCCCCTCGATCATCTTGACATATACAAATCTCTTATGCAACTCTACAACGTGCCTGATGAAATTATGTGTAGAGCCTTCTCTATCACCCTCAAGGGATCTGTATGCCAATGGTTCGCAAAGATTAAACCTTCCTCCATCCACTCCTCTGCGGAATTGAGTAGATCCTTCGTCTCCCACTTCATTGAAAAACGCCGACATCAGAAACCTGTGACCCACTTGCTCACCGTTAAGCAAGATAAGGATAAAAGTCTCAGAGACTACCTCGTCTGTTTTAACGAGCAGGCTCTCCAAATTGAAGAGTCAGATGATAAGGTAGCCCTGACCGCCTTTATTGCTAGTCTTCGCTCCTCAAATTTTGTTTTCTTTGATCTCAAGAAATCGCCCTCCAACATGCCTGAGTTGCTGTCTAGAGCATAGAAATACATGAACGCCGAGGACGTTACCAAGATCAGAAGAGGTGAGTCCTCCCATGGGGGCGAGAAAAGGAAGGACCCTCGCGAAAACATGAGGGAGGCAGAGAACAAAATGAGTAGGACAAATACCTTAATTATACTTACCAAAGAAGTAGTGTCCCTCCCCCTCACATCACCGTCTCACCAAACTTATATAATGTAAACCCTCTCCACATAGAAAGCATGACCTTGAGACTTCAACTTCTTGTCCTCTCTATACCTCTCTAGTTTCTCTCTCCTAAAGTATTGTAATACTCTTGGAGTATACTCCCCTAGTAACTTTTATTTATCAATAAAGATCTCCGGCCACCACTACCGTTCCCAAGAGTGAATAGGTTATCTGGACTAACCCACTATAAATCTGTGTGTTAACTTTTATTTACTGTTCTGCTATTGATCATCTTATTTATTGCTCATTAACTGCATCTTTACAAATACTCGACTGTTGATTTTGTGCAATACTAATTTGTGCAACATCAATAGGGTTACAACGATTCTATCAGAATCAGAATTTATTATTTTTTTGAGATATAAGTTATAATTTTAAAGGTTATGATAGATCATGAAAGATTGTAATTAATACTGGATATCATGATCAATCATGAATATCTGTGATAAATCATGATCTTCCCTTGAGCAAATGCAACTTTTTCTTTTAAAGTTGTAACTTTTTCATAAAAATTGATAATTGATTGTATCATTACCGATTTTTTTTTTTTTTAGTACCATAGAGTTTCCTTGAACTAATATTCTCAAACAAAGGATGCAATATATGATCATTAAGATTTCACGCTAATTTAAAAAGAAGAATGCTATGCGTGTTCCACTTTAATATGAATTATTACATTAATGGGTCTCATTATATATAAATCATTATGAATTTAAAAATGTTATATACTTTGAAATTAGTGCATAGTCTTGCACAATCACGACAATAATGATAACGTAAATATTAATTGGATTGGATGCATAGTCGCCACAAAAATTTTATATGATTAACTTTGAGAATAGCGCTCTTTGTCCTGACCCAATTTGGGACAATAATGTAAATAAACCAACCAGGGAGTATATTAATTTATTAAAGTTATCCAAACAACTCATCCAACCGGAATGGATTAGGTAGAGTACACGCTGCAATCCAACCCAACACACACACCGGCCATCCAAACACGCCAACGAGCGACTCTCCACTTTGGTAGTTGAGTACAGAGTTGGCTTTGCTTTATTTTCGCCGGCGAATGAGCCTTCAGCATGAATTGAGCCTTGAAGACCAGACCACCGTTGAATGCGTGTTTCGGAAACACGCATTTAAAAAGAACAGTAGTTTGATAACCACGCCGGAGACTACGGTGTTGTGGTAAAAAATTGCAAAACTNTGAATGGTGATACCAGTGGTGCGATAAAAATAGTGGTAGTGGTGATGATGGTGATGGGGCGACAAGTGTTGTAGTGGTGGTGGCGTGATGACAGTGGTGGTGATTGTTGAAGCTAAGATGGTTGTGTGGTGGCGGCAATGGTAGTGGTGGTGGTAATGATAGTGATGGTGGTTGTTGTGGTAGTGGTTGTGGTGGGGCGGTAGGGGTGATGGTGAGACATTTTCAAATATTTTTTTTTTTTAAAATACTTGTGAAAAGCAATAAAACCTATAAGTATTTTTAAAAAATTACCCCCAAATATACCTTTATGGGCATATTTTCCCTATTAAATTTGAAGTGTTAATATTAACTGGCGGATTAACTTTAAAGAAAAATTTAAAAATATCTTAACCGCAAAAAATAACAGTCATTTTGTTTATCTTTTAAATTTTGAATTGTATTTTACTTTATTATATAAATTTAAGAAAAAAAAATGCAGTATGTTCATTAAAATTAATTAATAATTAAAATTATATTAAAAAATAGGTGATTTATCATAAAAATATATTAATTCCCCCCAAAAAAATGGTGAACCCGTTCTAGCTTTCTTAGTTTTCTAGTTTCCATTCAATAAATCTAGTTTAAATAAAATTTCTTCTTCTCATCCCACCCAATACACTACCTACTCTTTTTTTTCCTACTTCGAAGATATTCAGATCAGTTTATGCGTACCGTGATTAAGTCTCTTTCTAATTTGGTCAAAAACATTTCATTTTTGTCGGGACTAGGGTATTCATGAGGAATAAATTCCTTATAACTTGTCAAAATTCAAACTTAAGACGTNTTCATTTTTGTCGGGACTAGGGTAATCATGAGGAATAAATTCCTTATAACTTGTCAAAATTCAAACTTAAGACGTCTAATTTTACAACTCGTCTTTATTAACCTTAGGGTTAGAACTAGCTACTTTCAATCGGTCCAATTTGTTCGGTGAATTCTTTAGTTGAAAGGTTAAAGGATAACAAGGTGGCTGGGGTGATGGACAAGTAGGTAGGTCATGTGTAATGCCATTACTCTGAAATACATATTGAAGAACATACATAAAGTAATTTGTTCTATTTGGTAGACAACACACTCATGTCAATTTGACTATGATGGGAGAGGTACTTAACTCAATCAATAAAGTCTTATTTCAATGTTTTTTAGGTCTAAGTTGACTTATTCAGTAAGTTATCGTATTGAAATATTCCAACTAAAATTAATATTACTGAAATCCGCACAAAAAAATTGAGTAGTAGAGTAGAACAAAAAGATAACATAAATTTACAAGTATTGACAATTGTATAAAATACATGTTTAGTCGATGTCCATGGTCAATAGGGTATTCCATGCATTTGAAATTTGGCAGAAGAATCAGAAAATATGTTTAATTGTTTATTGACATAAGAATTGTGAATGCATTAATCAAGAGAGCAAGAAGAATTGTGAATGCATTAATCAAGAGAGCAAGAATGCATTTTCTACCTACTTGTTTGAATTTGAGGGTAAAGAACTTGCTTATAATAGGGGATCAAAGTATCCTAAGGAACGAAAATACTGCATATTAAGTTTGTGTTGTGTTTATGTTAATACTAGCATGCGAATCCGTACAATGCATGTGTCATCCCTTTCTCTTTACAATCTTTTTCTTCACCCTTTATTCTCTTTCACCCATTACTTTATTTTATAAGTTAGTAAAAATATTGTAGTACTAGTTATTGTCTGTGTCTTAAAACATAAAGTAATAAAAAATGATAAACAATAAATATATTTGTATTCATATCCAAAATCAAATTATAAACATAGAGAAAAAATAAAGAAATTTAAGCATCGGTTTGTAGTGAATGTGAGAGATAGTGGGCGACAGTAGTGATGTTAAGAGACGATGATGATTGTGGTGAATGATAATGACTGTGGTGAGTGACAATGACCGTGGTGACGG